CGTAATTACGGCGTTGTGCATTGCTTCAAACGGCCGAGATAATCCTGTACCCCCCCCTCCCAAGATGCACCACCTGCAAACTTCCACAAAATGTGAGCATCAATTATACCTTGTCTACTTAGCAGGTGAAATATTAAAACTATATGCAAGTATCCGCGTGCAAAGAGAGTAGATACCTCTTTGATAATTCATAAGCTCCAAGTACGTTTCTCTGTAGCTTACAGGAACCTTCAATTCTGCCGACTAATCGTCACGTCATTGCGTCATCGGGGAGAATTAGTGAACATAACATTCTCTAATAAAGACCAGGAATAAATATGCTTCTAGCAATGAACTTTGTGAACACAATATTCCCCTTCAGTTGTATCGAACAGTGAGTTTCGAATAAGCACTGCAGTCGCCGCCAAGTATAAAATTTAATATTGCTTACTTAACAGAGTTTATGATGGAGAATTAGGTGACCAAAGCTGTCGAAGTGTTTGAATCTATCAAGATAGGTCATATGGATTTTGCTTGGTGTGTCCGTCGTTTTTGTTCACATAATATGCGCATTCGACAGTATAAAACCTCACGTTGCTATGATCAAGGTTCGCACACTGAGGATGGAAATATTTAAGGAAACCGGAACACGGATAGCCTGTATTTCGTGCCCATGTTATTATGGTCGACGACTGCAAAAATTCCTCACAGCATAACCTTTATGGTAAACATGTTTCAGCGCCTCAGTTAGTGGTAGATGTTATTTGGTGGTACTATGAGGAAGCGTTCGTCGCACAGTTGTATGCCGGCTCAAAACAGAGCCATTGTCGGTAATGCGTCCAAGCGTTTTAGTGGGTTCCAACGGGTCAGAGGTTGGGTGACGGTATTAATCCATCAAAAACAGCTAGTGCACGAATAGAACGCATGATCGGCGCCAACGAGGGGAGTACAAACTGGCCGATCACCGCTTCACTTCGTGAACAGGTGATGGGATTAAGCTCAAAACGGAAGGCATTTTAAAGTGCTTATATCTTGGCAATACAAATATCGCACACGCGGGATTCGAAAAGTAGGTGCCGAAAATTCAAGCTAGGGCTAGAAGATTTACTTAATTTAGATTCAAAACATTGTGTGCGTTAAGAAGCTTACGTTAAACTGCTTTGAATGAACGCAAGCCCATGGGTATTCGAGGGGCTTTAGAAGGATAAATCCGAGTGATGCATCAGGTGCCGTGCGAGCATCATAGTGTGGTAGAGTACATAACTAGAAGCACTGGTAACCCAAGGCACACTTTCAGAAACGCTGGTTACATTTTTAGGAGAATAGTTAGACCATTTATTGTTAGAAAAGCTTTCACTATATGTACATTCAAACGGACCAAGTTCGGTGAGTGTCATTTATCTTTCCTCGGACTAAATTTACTGACGTAAGTACCAAATAAATGTTTAGGACGGGCAACAGGACACACTGCAACCTGCCTACAATAAGTACTGGCAATATCCTCTCACTAGCGACTGCTTTTAGAATTGTACCCGGTATTTCACGATCGATGGACGGACGCTGACTTCGCACCGTCATTCAACAGTTTTAAAGTTAAAAGGCCAATAAAAATAGGCCAACTATACCTTTATTAACGAAACATGTATTCTTTTTAGTCTGTAACGGCACTTAGGAGGAATTCGCTAGGATGCGAAAAAAATGTTGCAGGTCTTTAAAGACAGGGTCACCATATCTAGCTGACTGAGTTCATGTCTTGAGTGTCAAGCTGCTTGATTTCGAGAAGTGTCGGGATACTGAAGGCGTTTCTTTCGAGTACGCATTGAAAATGTTAACCAGTAAAATAGACAGTCAGTGGTTTACGAGTTAAGGTGTTGTACTTTATTTTGGCAGGTTGAAAGCGTCTACGACAGAAAAGGACGGTATAGGACGACGTCAAAGGCGGTATCCGATGAGTCAACAACAGGGCTGAGCTAGGCGGTATGTTCAAAATGGTGAAGCATAACTTCTTCCGCTAAGGAGGCTTTGCTGTTCTTGAAAGCTTCAGCAGCAGCCTCGGTTAGCTCCACTTTGCCTTTCTTACTCCTACGAATCAGATCCATCAATGAAATTAGTAACTCGGCACAATGTGGAAAAAGCGTCGACAGTAGCTTTTCATGCCTTTGAAACAGCGAATGTCGGCCCTAGTAATCTAGACTTAAAAAGCTCTAATAACGCAGACACTAGCAGCTGGAGGCCGGATGCTACGCTGATTGATATGGTATCCGAGAAATGCGAAAGACGGCTGTTGAATAATGCACCTGTCGGCATTGAGATCAATGCTTCTAGCGGCCAACATATCGAAAAGTGTCTTGAGATTTTCCGCCTGCTGTTTTTCTACAACTCTTACCTCTGCAATCTCGTCTATGTATGGATAGACAATCGAAACTTCTGGTGTTTGTATCCATGAATTGTTGGAAGCTCGTAGCTAGGTTACGAAGATCAAACGAAAAACGCAACAATTCGCGCAACCCAAACGGTGTTGTTACGGTGGTCTTCGGTATGTTCTCATCGCCGACTATGATCTGGTGATAAGCGCGAACCGGATTGATTTTAGGGAACACACGAAGATCATCTTGGCTAATCGTGATATCGCAAACGTGAGTTACCTACTAATAGTTGGGCACAGTTAGTTTGTTAAGCGTGTGCTAGTTGCCACATGTTGGCCAGTCCCCAACTTGCTGGGAACCATTTGAAGTGAAGACCATACTATCTATAGGATGGGTTAACGATGCCTATCATAAGCATATGCTCGAATTCTGTGCTGGCGATCTCTTAGCTTATCAAGCGTCATTCTCCTGGCTTTTGAGAATTTAGGCAAACGTCTGTAATTGAAGTGACGCTTCTCACCATCAGTAGCAAATCGCGAGGGTCTCATTGCAAAGAAGGCTTGAAGGTTAAGAACCATCTGATCAATAGTTGAAATCAATTGGCTGTCGTATGCAGGATTGATTGACTCGATGTCAGTCAAAGTGCCTACTGATCTGTTCTAGTGAAAAGTTTATCGGTGTATGATCCAGGAAGAGCTTGATTGTGCGGAACAACCTGGACAAGTATCCACCAAAGACATTCAGATCTTGGGTCTCTTAAAGAGAGCATGTGGTCACGTAGGCACATTTACTTGTTTCAAGCAGTATTCCACATAAACACGGCTGCAAGTGGAGTATATGATTCAAGCGTGGTTACCACGGCTGGAGCTCGGTTACACTCTTTTGAAGATTTCCTAGTGTCAGGACACCGAAAACCTCAAAGGACTATGCCAATTACCTTACGAACAGCGCCTGATTAATTTAGGAGTTTTCAGTGAACGCCATCGGTGTTTGCGTTCACCAAATTTTAAGCAACCCTAACCACTAATACTGTCCGCTGATCAAGCTCAGTTATAACACCTGATTGGGACCACGGTCTTAAACAGACAGAACAATGCAGCCGGCTGTAGTGTAGACGGAGTTTCTTATCGCTACGTGTGCGCCATTATTGGAAATCAAGCCCGGAACATAGTATCTCAGCAGCTACATTAGCCGTATCCAAACATCATCTAGAAAATTCGCTGGTTTCTTACAGCACATCATCTGTCACACATGAACCGTACGCACATTCAAAAAACAACATAGCATCAACGCCTATCCGCTTTTCGGCGAAAACCAAAGGCGGGCAAATTTCTAATTGCACAAATCGTGCGAGAAAAATTCTGGCGAACTGATATTTATTCGACGAGTTCATTGTTTTCGTATTTGCTATTTACAGATGTTTTTCCTATTATTTTGTAGACCCCCAGCCACCATCGTGCGGGAGGTATTGGGCTGCTAATTTTATCCGTAATATATCAGTAACTGTTAGGCTGCAAGGCTTTTGTGGCGGTCGATCAGATGACGGTACTTCGTGTATATAAACAAGTCAGAGAACTACACAACTAGATTTAAAGGATTAATGTCTGAACTACCAGGACGAAGAAAATTCATTTGGATGAAACTCGCAATGACGGATTTATCGAATATTTACAGCTCGGATCACTTGTTATAGCACAATCGATGGTGGAACGCTAAAGTCACACTTTTCACCAACCGCTTGTAAAGCATAATGCTAAGAAAACAGGAGAAATAAAAAATTTATAAACAGACCATACAATCACGCTAGGCTGACAGGGACCCAGGAAGAGCAAATTAACGCGGGACTACAAATAATGTCCCAAGAGCGTCGAAGGCAGTGTTCGGGTAGCGTCCCAGATGTGAGTGTATAAAATGAAAAAGTAATCCACATTCGGCAAAAAGTAGACTAAATACCATGAGTACAAAATGCAACTGTTCTTTACACTATTTTGCACAACGTACGACGAAGGTACAATGAAATCTCCAGGTGGCTAAATGTATTCCAGATCTGTACATGGTTAATTGATGTTCCGATTCAAACAATGCGTGAAAATTTTGCATTTGCAGCAGTACGATACACTTTAGTTAATAGTATAACAGTACATACTTTTGATTCATTTGATGGCGTCCACTTATATGACTTCGTATTTACTAATAATGTAAATGGGCTCAGTTGTTTTCGTGCTGATTTATCCGTTTATCTAACCGCATGTTTGCAGAGATCAAGGATCGCTGTGCGTAGTATCCGCTTCAGCAGGTGCACAAAACTGGCGCTGATTAATTCCAGCTTTTCCTATTAAAAGTACACCTTTTGCTACTGGCGTTAAATATTAGATTTCACAAATGTGTCTGGAATAACCCGATTTACAATGCTCGGTTCCCTGACAAACGTCGTTACTGTGTGACAAAAAGGTAAACACAAATATTGCGTATCTGCGAGAAAATTAAACAATGCTCCTACTGATCTATATGACATTTCCTCCGCTTCTACCTGTTTCTGCAGCAAGTGAAGGGGTCCATAGGGCTGTTATGCAGAAATCAGTGTAAATTTCATAACATGACCCTTTACTGTTGACGACAAACACTCACTTTGATCATATTATTTTCGAATTTTAGGTTTTAATCAGGCGCCTACAAAGGCACTTCTTGGGCATTTCGACACGAACCCATCTTCTGTTTCAACTTGCGCGTATGTTTCCGACAACACCAGTAAATCGGACAATGAAGACAGCATAGTGAAACGCTCTGGCGCATCTACATCTCAAAACTTATTTATTAACAAGCGAAGATGTGGACAACTCACCGATCGGCATCGTCAAGAGAGAGAAGAAATATCAGGTTCAAATAGGGGTCAAGTGGACAGAAGAAGATTTGAAAAGCTCCCGTCTCTAATGGAAGGTAGTACAGCGGACGTCGCTTCGTGGGGACTAGTCTTACTGTGTGGTGTACCCTATGCTATCCATCCGGTCGTGTTTCAGTGTGAAGGAAAAGGCGAATATATTCTCTCACGCTTGTCTCCACAAGTTATTCAACAGATGTCGAGAGTAAACTGTTTAGAATCAACTTTAGGACCCTTAGCAGCTTTCCCTGGCGTCATGAATGTTTGGCCGCCGCAACATACCACGCATACTGCAAACAAAGGTCACGCTGCTCATTTCGATAACACCACCAACCACGACACAGTTCACTTTATGAGTAGGATGAATGGAGGGCCAAGTAGTTTTTGGAACCCGCGTAATACAAACGACATTTTGATTTCAACATATTTGGAGCCAACTGTTGTGCCTGACGGTAAACAGTCGGTCATTTGCAATGATTCATCTGAAACCAGTGTCCTCTCTTGTAAGCAATCGGTTGCACGTACCAAAGAAATACAGCTATGCATCGAGCCAACACGGACTATTTCCGTGGAATCAGCATTTATACATCCAGCTTGCCAACACCAACAAGATGGAGCATGGGTTGTTCCTGGGGAGAACAACCTTTATTCAACAGGAGAGCTAGATGAGGATACTCCCACTTCAGATACATTGATAGGTACCCAATCTCACAAGCAGTGTGACTCAGAACTGACGGAAGCTACTGCTAACAGACGACACGTATCCTCCTCGCATTTGTCAATTACGTCAAAATGCAACCCAACACATCCCAAAACACTGGGTCATGTCAAAACAGCACTTTTACGGAATGAAAAGGAGAATGCAGCAATTTTGAATGGCAGAAGATCACTCAATGTTGACTGCGCATCAACACACAGCACCACCTCTACCGTCATTCGTCAGAAGAAGGCAAGTTCTTACCTTACAGTAACGTTGTTTTTACTAAGTAGCAAATTAGTATGGACAGGCTGAGGCATGAGGTTTAGCATAGGTTGCACTAAAGTAGCAGCGGATTTACTGCTTATGTAAGTTCATTTTCTTTCTAAGACAAAGCAAGATTCCAAGATTTTATGACACTATCTGTCACGAACTCATGACCAAACGATTAACCATCGGTCGGATAGTCCAAGCATTTTAAAAGGATTTATTTGGTTTGGTCCAGTGCAAAAATATCAGTGCTTTCGCTTATTGTCCAAAGACTTTAAGGAAGTTAGACTACATCTAGTGTTGTTCGGAGACCCAGAAAATCACCTTTGAACACTGCAGCGTAATTACGGATCACTCGTTGTGTGAATGGTTTGTGATGCGCAATTTCAATCTGTAATGTGATCCCCATTGAAGGGAACCTTAGTCAATTAGATTGTTAGGGTCCTAACTGATCAAGCAGATAGATATTAGGAGTAACCTTCCCGAAAACAGAGCATCGCTGCATCCCTAACAATTTGTAATGCTTTACCGCATCTGTTACTTTCAATCGGTCAAAAAATATTTATTATTACTGTTAAACCCCAAAGAACTGTTGATTTGGTGCCGAATAAGATCTGTGCGCTGACAAAAATTGCAAAAATTTGATATTCTGCAGCCTTCCATTTTCTTATTAAGAGGCGCTGTATGGAGTTAATATGTAGGAATGCAAGACCGCATGTCATAGAGACCTGTCGGTTAATTTTTGCAAAATTTCAAGCTTTTGGTTGAATTCCCATGATTTTTCTGACATTCTGTGCGCATTTGGCGGAGACAGACACGAATCTGTGCTAAAATATACTGCAGTGCGAACAGAATACGTAAGCCTAGACAAGACTATTAATATGATTCTCTACGGATAAGACTGCTAGCACGTATCGTCTTCGCCAATTTTCGAAAACCATCGCCCAATCAAACAAGTGTATGCGAGTACTGATAGCAGATAAATAGCAAAGTGGACAGACTCATTAACATCAAACGGATGATTCCGCTTTACACCGGTTTGCTCTTGACACGTGAGAAAAGTGCTGGTGTTTATATTGCATATAGAGGCGAGGATACCGGTCTTCCTGCTAGACCCTCTGGAGTACATGGGCCACCGTGCTCAATCTGCTTCCTTCCGGTAAGTTGCTCGGTCTTTCTTTTCAAAACACAATCAATGTTCGTGGATCTGACAATGTTCAGGCTATTGTTTCTTGTTTTACCTATTGCTGTGAACAAATGCTTAAGTAGCCGAGTGTCCCACTAGGATCAGTCAAAACCTGACCAACGAGACGTTGCTTAAGTCATCCTCGAATTTTCCCCACTAGTTGACTGATTATAAGTTTCCATCTATTGTGGTTTGCATCTTACCCAATGTAACCAGTGAACTATTATTTAAGTTGGGAGAAAAAAGGAGTTGCTTGACAAGTTTCGCAAGATTGTAGGGGTGATGATAAAATCTCAAAAGATATGCGAGTTGTCTGTTTGAGCGTGTAGCGAGCAGACACGCAGCTGAATAATAACAGTGTAAGTGGGAATTAAATGTGAACGACGAGGCAACATGTAGACAGTTATACTTGATGTACTTCGTAAGAAAAATAAAATAAAATTACCCATTTTTATGCCACCTCCTAAGGTTTAAGTGACATATTAATCCTCCTTGAGGGGATAATTACTATATATCAAAGTTGCGCGATTTAGGCAACGATGTGATGAGGGCCAATCGACTTTTTGAAGATGGGAGGAAATAACTAAGTTTGGGAGAGCTTTCCAGGGTTGGCAAAGTCGAAGGGAAAATTAATTCTGTCGGCATTCCAGATAGCTATACAGTTCACTTAATTTCAAAGGGTTACCTCTGAGATTGGTGTTGACAGATTCAGTAAGGGATGGCATACATGATTAGAGTCACTCAATATTTGGTAGACAAATAGATGTTTTTGCATTTGTGTTTGTGTGCATTTGTTGAACGATTCAAAACGATCGTTCCCTTTCCTTACGTAATCTATATATGTTGTCAGTTTGCAAGTGATCGGATAACACGAAATGGTGCCATCTTGCAGCACTCCTCTTCATACTGTTTTGTTCAAATATAAGATCGTCGCGAGGCATTCATTAGCGGCCGCTGAAAACTCCCAGCGACTTCAGCGCTCCCTGATAAGACGGATTACGTGAACCATTGACGTTTATTGTAGCCCTGCAATTTAACGTACCTGTGGGTATCGTCCAGAAGTTTCGCGTAAGGTTCAAGTTTGTAAAAACGCGTTAGAGAGAATTCTAAGAAGGCTTCACGGAGGCTTGAAGTAGCCAATTATGTGCCAAGTTTTTTTAAATTTTTGCGGTACTTGTTTGAAAGGCGCACATTGTTAAAACTTCTAACGGGTTAGTGGAGACCTATTTCAAAAGTTGCGCACAGGTAGCGCTACCAAGGTTCTACACAGATACACAGTTGTCCTTTCATACACAATGGAATTTCACGGGGGACAAATAACTTATGCGGATAGCTTAATGTCACTCAGTGCCCTAATCTTTCGGAAATGCACACCTCGCAGTTTGTATCGCATCGGTAATAGTACATTAGGATCCTGATGGGTTACAAGTTAATAGCTACATTTGTCCAATACCCATCCGCTTATACATACCTGGTCTAACTATTTGATTCTGCAGCATTCTTCGAAAACCAACTTGTATATTCGCGGCTTGCCAAATATTTTTACGGAGGAAGAGCTGCAGAATTTGGCTCCCGACAGAGACCTGATACGCTCAGTTAAGCTGATTACCGGTTCAGAGGGGGAGAGTGAGTTCTTTGACTAATTGTCACGTAGCTGTATATTTGCTTTAATATTAGATTTATTACCCATAATTATTCCAAAATCAAGGGCTGGGAATCCCATTGTTAAATACATTCTTGTGTTCGGTGCATACCCTAATATTGTCAGTTTGATGTTTTGTACGAAACTTGACGGTTTAAACCAATAATTAGAGGGACATATAACGCAGCAAATTCAACTTTGAAGGATACACACAATACTTGCTGTTAGTGTTTTAACTAATTTCTTCGGACTGCTTTAAAGTAACAGCTTAGGACCAGATAATTCAATCGTCCAGAAACATGCCATTGCAATTAAGAGATGTGGGTAAGTTGAACGGTTTCTTTCCCTTTATTTGCTACTCAGGAAAACGGATAGTCTTTTCCCATTCTTCGGTCCCGACATCACACTACCGTAAACGTCAGCGCTTCGAACGAGGTGGGAGAGTCAAAACAAATGTTAACGAGCGTCATTTGCTATATATGACAGTCAAAGCGTACATCCGGTGACTTATTTTACTAACATCTAATCGGTAAACAATTAACTGCAAGAAAATGAGTTACTTTTATCTAAGTGGTCATCGAAATGTTGACAATACTTCGGACTGAGCTTCCTGTCAGGAAGAGTTAACATCATGGCTTCTAACCCGAACCATGCATGTTTGATACGATTGACACTACGGGATTTACATTAATAGCAGGCGAACGATGTACGGTGCCACTTGCTGGAGAAATTGACATAATACCTTATCAAATTTGATAGTGTAAAATCAAGTCTTGCAGTGACAAAATTTGCAGATTTTTCGTACATTTGAGCAATGATCCTGCAACTTGAAGATCGGTATGATACTACTTATACGAAAAAGCATTTTGATGAGTTGAAGGATATCACTGATCATTCTTCTTTAACAGATACTTAAGGATGGCTAGTTTTGAACTACATTGACCTATTATATCCTTATTTAAACATTTTACTATTGCTACGGCTGAGTTACACTAAGATTCCTTATGATGTATGCATGCGAATCTGCGTCTTACTAGACTTAATGAGCGGGTATGATTACAAGTGTACAGACCACGTTTAATCGGAAGTACGCACGTTTCCATCTGAATCCAATACTAAACCCCAGATTCGGTTAACCAAAGCAAAGAAAGTAGTGACAATCGTAATATTGTGTTAGCGTACTTGCCACCTTGAGTAAGAAAAATAAGTTGTTAGGTTCATTTTCAATATAAATTCAGCGTTTCCTTAAATGGCTGATGGTTGAGTCCCAACGGTACTTATTTTTGCGTCAAATTGACGCATGCTTGAAGAAGCGGTCTAAAACACGGAGGAAGAGTAGAGCCAATAGTAAGTGTTTATGACAATAAAATCACCGTAGAAGATATTTAGTGAACGTATAGTAGATGCAATCGCCTGCGTCTTGCATATGAGTACAATTTCCTTAGTACCAAGTTAGGTCGCACTAAAAACAAATGACCTTGGCACCACATGGGAACACGATGCAACTTAGAAAGGAAAGAATTGTTATCAAGAAAATAAGCTTACTTTTATGACGTAAGCCGAATTGGCGTACATCTTCTTATTCAGAGCTAATTGACGGTTAGTTCTGCCCATGCAAATGTCATCGCAATCGCAGGTAAATGAGAAACAACCTGAGTGGCAGAGGTACCAGACGACATGCTCCGACGATTATGAAGTACAAGTCTTCGGGTGGTATGCATGAATCGATTCTGGGCGGTCGTGTACCTGCGGGCTTGCGCGGATTCCTTTGAACCGGCCAACACGCTGGAAAAAAATGTCACTAAGTGCGGAGCATATGTACTCAATAGACGTGCACTCCCTAATCATAAAGGTGTCTATACATGAGGCGGTCGACAATGTATATGATTTCACCCAGTGTCATAATATGTCTGTGGGCTTGCCAGTGAAGTATTTAAAGGATATGTTTATAAACTGCACCGAAAACATTCGATTTCAGTTTGAGGGGAAAACATATGAACAGATCTACGGGGTCGCAATGATCAGCAATCAGGGAGCATTTTTAGCCGACATCTTCTTCGGTTTGATATAAAGGCTGCCAGCATTGGTGGATGACATTTTATTCCTGAACACCTGAGAAACTTTTCCGCGATAAATCATTCTGAATTCGATCGAAATCTATCTACGGGAATGTCATGAAGTGGAACAACAAGTTTGCCTGCGGTTTTTGGATACACCTATTAGCAGACTGGTTGAAGTACACTGCAGCGCCGCGTTCACTTAAATCGACTTGTAGTGAAGGGTACCTTCATTTTTTCTCACTTCGTCATAGTCACATACAAGCTTTCTTCTAGCGAGCTAGATGTATTTGAGGTTCGAAACCTTAAAAATTATAAAAGAAATTTCACGCAAGACCTCAGTTTCTAATGGGTTACTTGAGAACTTTATTCAGGCACACAGCAGGCCTCCCAGAAACAAAACAGTGGGGCTATCGGCAGAAAAAGGATGTTTATTTGTTCTTGCTGTTAAGGGAGGATCATAGGGCAAATGATATCAGACGCAAGCTCCGACGTGCGCTAACGCGCATGTACATGACCCCGCAGTTGCGAATCACGTGTAGCAAGCGAAGCCCTGTTAGTCATAACCGTCAAAGCGTCTTTTCGAGCAGTTCGGTGCCTCATGCAGTTTATCAGTTCACCTGGAGTTGCGGTGACACTTCTATATAGGTAAAACTACCAGTCAGCTGTCTCAGAAGGTAGGTGAACATTTCCCAAAGGATTTCGGACAAGTGATAACTCAACAAAACGGTAAGGAACTTAGGGTAAATCGGAACGTGGCATCTTCCAACACCAAGGGCTTCATGCTAACTAACTAACTAAATAAATAAAGGTTTTGATAGCATGTAGGCATGCCTTATCAGGCATGATCAAAGTTTTGCAAACAAGGTTTTGCAGTAGGCACATTGTGTTGCATGCATAAATGGGGAATGTACAAATAAGGGAAACATCAAGGGGAAGTGTCAACTGTTCACGCCCATGTAGATATAGCGTAGTGTAGAAATTTCTAGGCAGTGACTTTATTATGGTCGGTAATTGTATAAAATATGGCATGCTGACCAGTAACATACTGGTTTTGCGTGCCTGTACATATGTACGTATTTGTGTCAGTAGGCATTGTGAGTGAACTTGCGTACTGTGACTGAATTCGTGAGTTTGTTTGCTGTGTTCGTCATCGTATGAAGGGATCAATGGAACTCTGCGAATTGGAAGACTGTGAAGTGATGATCCTCCAAAACAGGAAGAGGCAGTGACTTTATTTAGTGGCGAGTCACATCCGCCACGTTGCATTGTTGTTAAACAGACCTATGTGGCTTTGTATCGGGAGAACGCTTGCCCGGCGAAAACACACCACTTCCTGGCACGCTGCCGCCGAACCTTTCGCAGGAACGGGATTAATCCGAAGCACCCAGCTGGCACCATGTGTAGACTGTTCGACACGGAGGCCTCAACAAATCTTGCTAATATTGGCGGTTAGTGAGGCTTTACTAAGTAAGCCCATCAGCTTGTGCTATGTGCGCAAAAGCTCTTGAGGCAATCAATTCGCTTACCTTGGTCTTGACGGTGACATTTGGTATGGTATTGCTTATCTTTCCATATATATAATCGATTGTACGTTTCTGCTTGTATAGTATTTGCGACTAATGAGAACAATAAAAATGTTAGCATATCTCAACCTACGTTTTCTCTCTGCTTTTACAAAATCCAACATAATAAAACAAAGTTGCTAATGCTTGCAAATTGCAGTTTTATACCACTGGATAATATGCCCAAGAATTCAAAATGGGGGTAAAGTATGTAGAAATGAGCTGTTACCTACAATAGTTGAATTGCTGGATTTCGTTCGCAGAAATCCACGTGATACAAAACGCGCTACATCGCTGGTGACACATTAGAAGGTAGTTTTTATCCAATCATTCCAATGAGACAGGTTATAATATATTCAGGGGAAATTTGCGTACATGAGCTAGCTTAGGAGGCTTAAATGTTGGGTCTACCGGAGCTGTATAGTGGACGACAATCGCAGTATCGACAAGCAATGCGGTAATGCGAGAAGTTGTCCGAATGAATGTGCTATACGCGTTTGAGGAATCTCTTGTATCGGTGGTAAATGGAAACTAATATATTAGATATCGAAACTCACCGGGTGAACGATGGCAGCTTGTCCGACCCAGTATGTACACCAGCGGGTTGCGGTTGGTGAACCTGACAAACAGGCGGCCCAATGATGGACGTCACGTCATGTTTGGTATACTGTCGAAAAGTTTATATCAACGGTGTTGTATGGTGATGCGGAACAAAGACGCACTTTGAAAAAAGCATCGAAAATCTTCAAACGCATACCACCTGAAGCAATATCACAATACGTTACGATAAGTTAACATTTCGATTGCTGTCGCCAGTTGCTACGCAATACAGGCAGAACAAAACACGCAATATATAGGGTCCACACTTAGTCACATAGATACGCAGATAAATTGATGGGAAGGATGTAATCACGTCTAAGGCAATCTAAATGATTGCCTCAATGGCTTCTGGGCACAGAGCCCGGGACACTTCAACCTTATCAACAGCGCCTCGTCAATTGCCAACAACGGCGCGTTTCTGTTGCGCAATAGCACCTTGAATGAATCGATTGGGTTCACCTGGTGACGAATCAGCGTGAGGTGTTTGGTGATAGACAAGGCAGGGTTCCGGTTCATTCTTTGGTTCGCTCCGCCTTGGTTAGACAGAAACCGCCTTAGCCATAATGGGAAGTGTTCCGCCACCTTTTGAGCCAACCGGCGACCATTCTTGCCTATGTAAATGTCACTGCAACTGAAAGTGAACTGGCAGATGATGTTAGAGGCCGAACTGATTGGCGAGCTGCTCGGACGGCTGTGGAGAGGAATGCTTCGTGTAGTGTGAATAAGTCGCAGTTGGGCGGTAGAGTAGGTGCGCATTAGAGC